TCTGTCTGTCTGTCTGTCTCTCTGAGCCCAACTCGCCCTCACATTATGGAAACAAAGGAGGAAGGAGTATTTGATATATTTGCTTCCTTGAGTTAGTTATAAAAAGGCACGATGAAGATGATAATAATATGAATAATATCATATCACAAACTGATTATCTACAACATTATCATGATCGAGTGGCCAAAATCATAAATTGGAAGCTTTGCCAGAAATTTGGATTCAAATGTAGCAAAAATTATTGGGAACACCATATGGCAAAGTTTGTGAAAATGAACAAGTCTTGATTCTGTGGGAGTTTCGAATCTAAACAGAGTCGTTGGGCCCGCAATACACTTGACATCACTACTCATGTCTGGTTCAAAAAAAAAAAAGTCTGGTTCATTGATAGTGCAATAACAGGTGATGCACAAATTGAAGAGAAATAACTAGGAAAAAATATTAAAATGCCCCGATCACAGCGCAAATTGAAGTAGAGCGCTTGTGGAAGAAGAATTCCAAAAGCACTGGAATTACATTTAAAACAGTTAAAAATTGACAAAATCACCATCAGTCAAATGCAAAAAGCCGCACTGCTTGGATCTGCACGCATATTACGAAAATACGTTACAACGTCCTAGGCCCCTGGGTGGGGCCCGACTAGTAACCAATGCCAAATCCGGCGAAACAACTGGCCGCTGTGATACAATTGTACAACGACAACAACAACAACAACAACAACAACAACAACAACAACAACAACAACAACAATAATAATAATAATAATAATAATAGAAAAAGTGCACCACTTCTTCCAAAGGCAGAATTTAAAATAAAGGCTTATTGTCTTTCTTTGTTTGCAAGAAATGTTAAGTTTCTTAACAGCCCAAGGGCTCAACTCTGCTCTTAGATGAGAAAAATTATGCATCCTTGATCAGAATCATCTCTAAAACCTTGACTGTGTTGATGCTTATTTAGTTATTATGCCCCACCTGATAAATATTCATTGATCTCACAACTGTGAAGCATCTGCTTTTAAGCTTACAGCTATGAAGCTCATGACTGATACAATCATATTAACTCCAGAATAAAAGAAAATGATCAGGTTTTGATTTTGGAAAGGCACATCTATTTTTTTCTTTTTAAAGAGTGGAAAAATGAAACTGCCAAGCTGGAAAATGAATGATGCATTTTTAAAAAGGCATTCTAGTCCCCCCCCCCCCCCTCACACACACTAAAAGGGCAGAGAAGGTAGGATTACAATGCATGCTCTTTTATTAACAGGAATTATTTGGTCTACTGGTGGAAGGCATCAGGCTAGAAAACAGGAGACTGGGAGTTCTAGTCCTGTCTTAACCATGAAAGATGGCTGGGTGACCTTTGGCCAATACCAGGAGATGGTGAGTTCTAGCTCCGCCTTAGGCATGAAGGCTGATGATTTCGGACCAGTCACCAGGAGATGGTGAGTTCTAGTCCCTCTTTAGACATGAAAACTATCTGGATGACTTTGGGCCAATCACCAAGAGATGGTGAGTTCTAGTCCCGCTTTAGGATGAAAGCCGGCTGAATCAGTCATTCTCTCTCTTTCTATCTCTCTCATTGGATCAGTCCAGCCTAGCTTGAAGGATTGTCGTGAAACTAAGGAGAAGAAACGAGTATTAGGGTTGTCAGTAATTTTTAGCACTGTTTTGAGCTATTGTATTAAAGCAATAAAAAGGGATAAAAATATATTTAAAAATCATTAATAAAAGCAGAAAATAACCCCGCGTTTCTTCCCAAGATTTAACTTTTGGGGTTTTTAAATTAGTTCTGCTTTAGATATGTAGCATCTCTCTCTCTCTCTCTCTCACCTGAGAGATCTTGCCTGAGAAATATTTTTCTCTGCTCTTCAAATACATTTCAGCCACTAAAATTCCCTGGAATTTTTTTTGCTTTAGAGAAGTTGCTAATGTTGTTATTGAATTCTGCTCCTGGTCACATTAAACAGCCCAGCACATTTTTTATTCAACATTAACATTAATTTACTGATGTGACCATTGACTAATTTTGCTTTTATTCATTCAGGACTGACAACTGTTTAACTATGGTCAACATGGTTTGTCAATATCCTATGTGTGACTTGGGTCACTCTAAAATGATTTCCAGGCAAACTCAGTAGCAAAAATAGCAAGTAGGGCCCAAATTCTTGTTTATTATTTTTCCCCTTTTCTAAAACAAACAGGCTCGGATTATTACTGTAATTCTGTTTTCTGTCTTGGCTACATGAAAGTGCTTGATTGCGTGGTTGAACCGCTCATCCCAAGAGAAAAATGTGACTTTAAGGACAGGAATATGTTTAACTGACTTGCTCCGAGTTCACCACCTGGTTCTTAGGTGGCCAAAGGCGGAAAAAACTAGCACTTCAAATCAGTTTCACCCACAAAAACAGGAAAAGAAAAACCGTACGTCACCATTTGCAGTGGCTGCAAATCTTTAAAAATACCCGAACAATCAAAATAGAAAGGGAGAAATGCCCAGATGTCAAAAACTTCCTCTCCCTGAGAATGGGAATGGAACCAAAGCTATGGTGGCTTCCCCTGCAAGGTGGTTGTTCCATTTTTGTGGTTTTCAGCAAGAGGACAGGTGAAGGACGGATGCTACCTTAATTAATGCTTTCTTTGGAAGATATTGGATGATCGAGTTTCATTCTCCCAGTGTCCGAAATAAGATTTTTCTCTGAATTTTGGCACAGGGTGTTCCTTCCAGGGGAGGGAGGGAAGAAAGGAAGGGAGAGAAGGAGGAAAGGAAGGGAGGAAAGGAAGGAAGGGAGAGATGGAGGAAAGGAAGGGAGGGAGGGAGGAAAGGATGGGAGAGAGGAAGAGAGAGGAAGGAAAGGAAGGAAGGAAGGCAAGAGGGAGGGAGGAAAGAAAGGAAGATTAAGGCACCAGGCAAAAAACTATAAGAATGTGAGTTCCAGTCCCATTTTAGGCACGAAAGCCAGCTGAATGACTTCGGGCCAATCACTAGAAGTCAGTGAGTTCTAGTTCTGCCTTGGGCATGGAAGCCAATCAAGCCATTAACCTGAGGATATTTATTTATTTATTTGATGTATTCATTTAAACAATTGATAAAACCACTGATCTCATAAAGCAGTGATTCTGAAGGTGCATGAAAATAAAAATACAATTTACAAAATAATGCAATGTATGTTTTGGGTCTAAAACATTTTTAATTAAAATTCATTTTCAATCCACGCATACCAAAAACTACCGACAGGACAAGCCCAACCTCTCTACCCAACTGTCTGCAGGAGAATCCAATCCATTAATGCCTTGCAGGACCCAGGTATCCCTCCATCCATCAATCCAACCATCCCTCTCTCTATCTGTCCATCCACCCATCCATCCATCCATCCATCCATCCATCCATCCATCCCTCTCTTTGTCTGCCCATCCATCCATCCATCCTAACCTCTATTCATCCCATCTTTCTGCTAATTCATCCATCCCTCCATTCCTGTCTGTCTGTCAATCCCTCCATCCCTCCATCTATCTATCAATCTATCCATTCCTTCATTACTATCTGTCTATCTATCCAATCCCTCTATCCATCTCTCCATCCTTGTCTGTCCATCCTTCTGCCTGCCCATCCATCCCTCCATCCATCCATCCATCCATCTCTCTATTCATTCCTTCATTCCTGTCTATCCATCTATCCAATCCCTCTATCCATCCACCCATGTCTGTCCATCCTTCTGCCCATCCATCTATCCCTCTATCCATCCTTGTCTGTCCATCCATCTGCCCACCCATCCACACTTCCATCCCTCTACCAATCCATTCTTGTCCATTCATCTTTCTACCCATCCATCTCTATCTCTGGGGAGAGGAACATCCTTCTACTGCTATCTGCAGCCCTCATTTCATTTGGCTGTTTTCTATCACCTCCAATGATTCCTGCTCAGTGGTCCTTGACAAAGCTGGATGAAAAAGAGATTACTCACCGCAAGCAGAGGAACAATAAGAAGGCCACGATAAGAGCTCCAATGGAGATGCAGTGCCCCAGGTAGTTGATAATCATGGCCACCTTGTAATGAAGAGCAGGCTTGGTCTGGGGCAGGAAAGAAAGGGAAAGATGAGACCTTCCATAAAATGAAAGGTTGGTCAACAGCAATTATTCTTACTGGGGACATGAGATGGGCAGAACTAGGGGCCAAGAAGAAGTGTGAAGCTCATAAGGAGGTTGGTCTACATGTGTGAGGTGGACGGATGGAGACCGTTGGCGGGTTGGATCAAGAAGAACCTGGAGACTAAGACCTGGATCCTGCTTGATCACAAGAAGCTCCTTCACATGTAGAAGAAGAAGACCAGGAGATGTATCACCAACAGTCACATCAGGCTTCTGTATCTAGCCAGGATCCAACAAGGAATAAGAGAATCCTGACCTAGATAGAACCTTCCTTAACCCTTGAACGTGTCATTTCTTGAATAATGGAAGCCATGAGGTGAAATGACACAGGAATGCTCAGCTCGGCTAAGAGGCAAGTGATAATGGCAAGGCTACTCAGGAGTAACTTACCAAAGGAAGCCAGAGCTGATCAGGGCCAGATACACTCAAATGGGACATAACCTCCAGATATTTGAGGAGGAATCTAGTCCATTAGAGTCCCTATTATGACCCTGGTTTGCAAAAAAATAGTCTTTTTTTTAAACTTGTCTCGAGAAGTTGTGGGTACTCCAACCAGTGTATTGGAGATTTTTAAGAAGAGATTGGACAGCTGTTGTTCAACTGTCTGTCTGTCCATCTACCTCCCTATCTACCTATCTCTATTCATCCATTCGTCCTTCTTCTCTCATCTGTTTCTATAATCCATATATCTTTCATCTGCCTGCCCGCCTGCCTGCCTCTCTCTCTCTCTCTCATTCATTCATCCCCCTTCTCTCATCTATTTCTCCCATCCATATATTTTTCATCTGCCTGCCTGCCTGCCTGCCTGCCTACCTCTCTCTCTCATATCCATTCGTCCCCCTTCTCTCATCTATTTCTCCCGTCCATATATTTTTCATCTGCCTCCCTGCCTACCCACCCTCTCTCTCATCCATTTGTCCCCCTTCTCTCATCTATTTCTCCCATCCATATATTTTTCATCTGCCTGTCTGCCTGCCTGCCTCTCTCTCTCTCTCTCTCATCCATTTGTCCCCCTTCTCTCATCTATTTCTCCCATCCATATATTTTTCATCTGCCTGCCTGCCTGCCTGCCTCTCTCTCTCTCTCTCTCTCTCTCTCATCCATTTGTCCCCCTTCTCTCATCTATTTCTCCCATCCATATATTTTTCATCTGCCTGCCTGCCTGCCTGCCTCTCTCTCTCTCTCTCTCTCTCTCTCATCCATTTGTCCCCCTTCTCTCATCTATTTCTCCCATCCATATATTTTTCATCTGCCTGCCTCCCTCTCTCTCTCTCTCTCTCTCTCTCTCTCTCTCATCCATTTGTCCCCCTTCTCTCATCTATTTCTCCCATCCATATATTTTTCATCTGCCTGTCTGCCTCTCTCTCTCTCTCTCTCTCTCTCATCCATTTGTCCCCCTTCTCTCATCTATTTCTCCCATCCATATATTTTTCATCTGCCTAACCAGCCAGCCGGTGGACAGTTAACCAGTGGTGGAAAAACTTGCCTTCAGAAGTTGTGGATGCAGGAGGTTTTTAAGAAGAGACTGGACTGCCAAATTGTATAGGGTTTCCTGTTTGAGCAGGGGTTGGACTAGAAGATCTTGAAGGTTCCTTCCAGCTCTGATTGAATTTTTTCCCCCCAAACTTCATAGCGCTAAGATATGTGGATTTCAACTCCCAGAATTCCCCAGCCAGCATTAACTGGAACTTCGTAATATTCCTACTTCCTTCGAGTGCCTGTTACTTCTCAGTCCCCTGAACTGCTTCTGAAGCTCCCGAGGCTATGAATCATTTAGGAGTGCAAATGCAGCCCACTCAGAAGGATTCTATCTTGGGATAACGCAGATATCTATGTAACGTTAAAATAAGTATAAGATAAAATAAGATAACAGCAGCTATCCACAGAGATGGAAATGTAATATTTATGGAACAAGTCGACACAGAACTGCAGATCAAGATCGCAATGACAGGCGAGAAAGATTTTGGAAATAGAAACGCCCCCCCAGAGGAACAGTGTGATAAAAGACAGCATAATCCACAACTGCGCAATGGGTAGGGAAGAGGCTCAGGAAAAACCTTCCCTAATTTCTCCAAGAGGCTAAAGGGGGATTATGGAATTGTACTTCCAGACTTCCAAGGCTCTGTCAATGTTGTTTTACAATGAAGTAGAACTAGTTCATCTGTCTGGTCTACCTTGTAGAGCTGACATTAATCTTGCAAGACTGAAAGTATAACTCTCTCCCTCCCCACTATCTCCCACCGAAGAAACTAGGGAGGGTGTTTTGCAAGCCTCTTCTCCCTCCCACTTGGATTATGCTTTCTCCTCTCTTGTTAGTGCATAAGAGTTCATGACCTGGAAGACATGGCAACAAGGTCAGCCAATGAATAGGCATAGCAACTATGTCAGCCAATGGGGACTGTTTGGAAGCTGAAACAGTATTTGCTGTGTGAGCAACAAGGAGACAGCAAAGAACCTGGGCGTGGCTTAGCTCTCTAGTTCTGAGTCTGTGCTGAGCTCTAAACTGGTCTGCTGCTCTGAACTGCCAATTACCTCCAACGGAACTATTAGATCCCACAGATTAGGCCTCCTCCGAATTCCATCCACTGGCCAATGCCGATTGGCTACCACCCGGAGGAGGGCCTTTTCTGTGGCTGCTCCGGCCCTCTGGAACGAGCTCCCCGTGGAGATTCGAACCCTCACCACCCTCCAGGCCTTCCGCAAAGCCCTTAAAACCTGATTGTTCCGACAGGCCTGGGGCTGACGAGTTCCCCGCCCCCGCTCGAATTGTGTGGTTGTTGAGTGTTTTTAAATTGCTGTAGTTGTTTGTCCGTTGTCTTTTTCCTCCTGTTTGTATTCCCCCTCCCTTACTTGGTTTGTGAGCCGCCCTGAGTCCCTCTGGGAATAGGGCGGCATAGAAATGCAATAAATCAAATCAAACCAAATCAAATCAAATCAAATCAACTGAAACTGTTCTCTCTTCTGTGTTTGCTTGTACTCTCTACCACATTGGAAGAAACAGCTTTTGGTATTGTATACTTACTTCATGTGTTATATTATAAAGAGAAGTTAATGAATCCTGCTTAATCAGTTACCTGGGCGTGCTTTCTGGATGTGATTGCTGCAACAAACTGACATATCTGGCCATTTCCTTGGCTGTGTCTCTTTGCCCAGTTTCCCAAGCCATGGTATGTCTTACACACATACCATGAAACAAAGGAACAGAACAGGATGACAGAGTTGTATGGGACTTTGGAGGTCTTCTAGTCCAACCCCCTGCTCAAGCAGGGAACCCTATACCATTTCTGTCCATCTCTTCTTTAAAACGCTCCATTGACGGAGCATTCACAACTTCTGGAGGCAAATTGTTCTACTGATTAACTGTCAGGAAATTTCTTTTTAGTTTTCGGTTGCTTCTCTTCTTTTCCCCTTGATTAATTTCTTGTTCTGCCTTCAAGTAAAATAAGCAGTGCCTTGGAGAATAGCTTCACTCTTTCTTCTTTGTGGCAGCCCCTGAGATATTGGAAGACTGCTGTCATCTCTAGTCCTTCTTTTCATTAAACTAGAGATATTCAGTTCCTGCAACCGTTCTTCATGGATTTTAACTCAGTTTGCCCTGATCCAGAGTAACACTCTGATGATCTGCCTGGAAGTGATGGGGAGAAAGCAGGACTCTCCAACAAGGAAGATTCCTATTGGCTGCTATCCAGCCTTTCTCCTTCTTGACAATTCCAAAGTTTTTCTTCTGGGCATTCCTAGTTTTCCTTCTGGAATATAAAAAATGACCCACTGGAGTTGGGAGCCATTATAGATGGGGGGCTGACAAGTCACCTATATTCATAAATAGCTGGATACCCATGCTTCGCGATGAAACTATGTGATTGGGCAATGCAGGGGAAATCTGGTACTCTCTGGTTCAATCTGTTGGCTCAGTCGTGGTCGGTGATTGAAACACCTAAGAGAATATTGTACTCGCCACCTTGAGGCTGGAAGCAGTTCCATACATGGAAGGCATAGACATTTTGGTGAGGTATCGACATTTATTACTGTAAGGAGCCCCAGGCTGCTCCTGAGTGAAGGAGCGGAACGTCTGCCAGTTTGAACTGAGGTAACGGAACGTGAAGCAACTGGCAGTTGGAATAGAGTTCTTTTCAGGTGGGGAGGGGGAGTAGAATGTCTAAGCATCAGAGTATGTTAATATAAGGTAACTGGCGGTTTGAACAGAGTTCTTTTCAGGTGGGGAGGGTGAGTAGAATGTCTAAGTTCTTAGAATCAGAGCATGTTAATTACTGTGTAAGAATGATCTGATGGGTATTTCGAAAAATCATTTCTTAGTGAACACCTAGAAACCAAGAGGAACATACGTGCCAAATTTCAAATTTGTAGGCTTTTACGATTTTGTGTTGAATGAGTGGTGTGTATGTATGTGTGAATCTCTCTTTCTTCCACCTTCTGACATTTCTACCTGGTAAGAAGCAGGCTGACACCGTTCCTTCTCCCCCCAAGTCCCCAAGCCATTTGGCGACTAGCACTGTGATGGCAAACGTGTGCCACCTGTGGCACGCAAAGCCCTCTCTGTGGGCACATGAGCTGGGACCCTAGTTCAGCTCTACTGTGCATGTGCTTGCACCTCCTGCCAGCCAGCTGGTCATCGGGTCTCTGCCGTGCATGCGCAGGGGCGGAGCACATATGGGTGTGTGCGCGCGCATGCGTGGTAAGTGCTTTCAGGGAGCCACATGAACATGTGGGGGGTAGGGCATGTGCGTGGGCTGCATATGCATGCACATGGGGCGGGGCGCATGCAGTGGGTGCGTGCATGTGCAGGGCGAATGTGGGCCGTGCACGCATTGCATTTTGGGGGGTTCAGGTATGCTTTGGGTCCTCACTCAGGAAATGGTTAGCCATCACTGCAATAGCAGTAGCCCCACCACTCCCATTGCTGA